CTGTAGAAAAAGTAAGGTGCCAGGTAGAGTGAAGAGACTATCCTAAAAGTTTTTTTTTTTTAACAAAATACAGAAGAAAGCAGTACTTTTCAAAATCATTATAGACAGGGCCTAGAATACGGATAAGTCTCCATCTTTAAAAAGAGATCTTTTTTCCCTTATACTTATAAGGACCTCAGAGGTCGTTTTGTTGTGACACATTTTAGCTATAAACCAGTTACTACACAACCAAGAAATAATCTGAAATACTCATGCTCCAAAATAAGTTGAAAACTGCACTTTACTACCTCTAGGAGTAATTCAAGTTAAGAGACAAGCAAAAGAATACCTTCACTGCTAAAATCCTAAATGATTCATCCTTAATTAGAGGCAGAAGGGGAATGTGTGCAATGTTACTTGGTCAGGCATATAAGTGGTAAGATCCTAATGTAATGCCTGTCATCTCAGGAATTTAAAAAATAATGTTGGAAGCCCCTCTTAGATGCTGACTCAAATGCTTCCAGAGTAACACTTATTTTTCAAAGAAATATCCTTGGGGCATGAAAATTTTTCTTTAATAAGCCAGAAAATTTGATTTGGAATATTTAAACACTAAAATACTACTTACTACAATATATACTGGAAAAAACATTCTTATAAGTGACAGGAAAGAAAGAAGGGCTACTTGCAGCAGTATAATTGAGGGAATATTTATCTTAAGATTGATTGACTCAAAAGCAAAGACAGACATCAGAAGAGTTACTTAATACTTTATCAGAGCAAAAAAGAAAGCTGAGCACAGAGTTGGAAATTCATAGCATTTGAGTATCTGCTTATTTTTCTGTTCACAATTTTCTCAACCGATTTTAATCCCTCTTGAAAAGGTGACTCTGAATAACCCCTTTTATTATTGTAACATAGGAAGCTTGAAATGGAAATGTGAAATTGAAAACTTACTTTTAAGAGTCATTAGATTTGGAGGGATTTTGTTTGCTTTTATTCTAAGAACTTAAAAAAATATAATCTTTATCTTAGAGAAAACAAGGATAGATCAATTCATTATAAGCAAACATAATGTAGATCCAAATTTGTATAGAATACTGCCCTAAGAATTAGGGCAAATATATGCATACCTATATGTATACATAGACATATACATATGCATACACACACACACACACACACACCCCACACACAAACATGTACTCTATTTTAGTGAAAATCTAGAGTTGAGTGTAAATAAAGTATGGGGCAAGCTTGTATCACCAAAGTTTATAATTCAGGTAATAGTGAGAAGTGCTCCTCCCCATTGCTTCCATCTGAATAGTGACTGCTTCATAGAGACAGCCTGTGGACCATGTCAGCCCAGTGGTCCGTGCTGTGAGAAGACCCAGATGTCCTCCTGAAAAAAACATTTCACCCTAAACTTATATGAGTTCCCTACTTATTAATAATATTTTTATTATCTAATAATTTATCTAAACCATTCTTAAATCTGTTTCTATTTCTAAACACTACCCTTTCTTGAGAAAACAGATTTAAAACTTAATTACCTAACAAATCAGGCTTCCTCTCTGTTGTGACAGTACATTCATGACAGTGAAAACTCCACTAGGTCCCCAACTAGGGAAGCTTTATCTTCATAACCTCATGGTGTCTAGCACATCTTGGATGTAAGAGATTCATAATTAATGTATGCTAACTGAATACCCTGAGAATTGGTTAGAAAGAAGACCATCTTTGTTTATCTGCATCTTTGCTGTAGAAGATACTTATACTGTTTTTACATTCTCCCTTCATAGTCTCTACCAAATTAAAAGATGCTACATTACTTGAGTTTGATTATATATCATGCAATCTCATAAAACTTCAGGGTCTTTTTGTAACATGAATTTCCACAAAAATGGGTAATATCAAAATGTTTTGGAAAAAAATCACATGCTGATAAAGAAGAGTTCAAAATTATAGAATAATTGTATCAAATCATTCATTAAATATCAATTATTCTAAGTTCAAAACATAAGTTTGGGGACATAACTATATTTCATAAAATGCTTCATAAATATGTATGCCCTTCAGGGAAAATACAAAAATTAACAATGATGTGAAAGGAAAAATAGAAATTAAACTAAAGGTGACTTCTCTTTAAAGACTATTTTTAGATTTATATATTCAAGTTTTTCCAAACATACTTTCTTTTTAATTCCAGTATAATTAACATGTTATATTAGTTTCAGGTGTATAATATAGCAACTCAAAAATTCTATACATTACTCAGTGAGCCTCATAATAAGTGTGCTCTTTATCCCCTTCACCTGTCTCACCCATTCCACCTACATGGTAACCATGAGTTTGTTCTCTACTCAAGAGTTCTTTTTCATTTGTAAAGACTAAATTTCTGAAGGGACATTTAAATAACTTGAAATATGTAAAAAATAATATTCATTAAGTGGAGAAAAAATTTCCTGTTTCATTCATAAAATCTTACCTGTTAAAGATATTTTTCAATGTATGAATAAAATATTATTTCTAAGCAGTACAGGATTTTAAAATACAAAAAGCATTAGTGGTTTTTTAAAAAGGATTAATTTATTTATTTGAGATAGTGCAAGTGAGGTTAGGGGCAAAGGGGTAGAGAGAGAGAATCTTAAGCAGACTGCCCACTGAACATGGAGCTCTATGCATTATAAATCTCACAAACCTGAGTTCATGGCCTTGAAATCATTTCCTGAGATGAAATCAAGAGGTAGATGCTCAGTCACCTGAGCCACCCAGGCACCCCTAGGTATAATGTTTTCTCAGAGCTACTCAATCTCTGTGTTTGTAGTTTTGAATCATTTGGAAAATAATGCAAGTTCAGATATGGTAATCTAGACATGTAAGTTCTATTAAGTTAAATCAGTTAATTTTCTGTTTAGGCTTCAAATGCATTATAATATGGCATATTTTTTCAACTGAGTAGGATTTTATGATATCATGGTGGATTAATAAAAACCTATAACTTAATATAATTAAAATTGTAAATTAAATTAATAAAATTAATAAAATTAAATTATAAAGTATCTGCTGATACCACGTAAAGCTAAAAGTAATTTTTTTACAAGTCAGAATTTTTGAAAGATACATACATTTTTCCAATGGGTTCATTCATCTCCTAGTTCTTAGTTTACTGTTTACTTCCTTAACAAAGCTAATGAAATGTTTTCATAACTGTATCTGTTCAAGAACTATTTATTTGAACAAATTTGGTCAAAGGTACACAAGGAGAGTAATTCACAAACAGTATAATACTGTTTTGTTGAAAGCGTCATTCAAGACATTTGATTTGAACTTTCTAATTGCCTTCAAAAAAAAAGATAGAAATAATCTGACTAGATATTTACTGAGAGACAGTTCAGAGGATCTGTGTTTAATTTTTATTGACAACTTCAGGAAAATTATTAGTCTGAACTAAAGAAATAAATAGATTTTGCCTATAAAGCCTATTCTTCTCCAGAACCACAAAAACTGAAAAAGAAACCAGGATAAAAAGCAATCTAAAGGCCAAGAGAATCTCTCCCTAGGCTTCCCATCCAAAATCCTGCATGAGAAATTATAGTTATTTTTATTGCCAGGTTAGTTTAAGTGACAATGTTTAGTTTGACCTAATTTGTGAGTTAATGGATTATCTGATATACTGGAGAACACAATATGAACTTCCTAACTACTCCAGCCTCTTAATAAGTCATTTCATAGAACATATTTACTATAGACTAAAAAGAAAAATGGGGATTTTTTTCCAAATTAATAAAATCCCATATACTCAACTAAGGTAATATATATAAATATTGCTTCCTATTAAAATTCTGTACTTCAGCATTTACATCACAGATATTATTCTACAGAAAAAGCATCCAGAAAATTTAGGCAATTATCTGAAAAATGTAGGTCAAATACTTATCAAATTGACTCAATTAGCCCCGGGGTGTGGAGTTTGAAGATGAGTACCAGGCAGTGATGATCACCATCCTCCTTAATTTGTCTAAATTTGAATGTGTTTTACCACAGTAGAATAGAGAACACAGGCAATCATACTGACTTTTTAAATAAACCACACACTTTCTTATAATTTGTAATACTGGTCCCAAGAAAAGAGAATGATCCAATGCTGAAGGAAAATGAAGGACTGGCATTGGTTTCTGATCTCCCAGGGCCATCTCAGCCTTTATTAGGAATCATCGTAACTCCCTTTCCACCTCTCTCCAAAATCTAGGTACTGCTTCTCACCAGATTTAAATGCCCTCAATATATACATATTTTAAAAATATCAACTACAGGGACGCCTGGGTGGCTCAGTTGGTTAAAAATATCAACTACAGCTAAACCAAGAAAGACTGTAATTTTTAAGTTTAATGTTAAATCAAGGATAGCGGTTCTTTCAGGAAGTATGATAAAGGAAATGGATTTCTTCAGGATGGCAACTGTTATCACATTTTGATGAGGAGATAGTGATGTCTTGTTAAGAGAAGACAAATGATAGCTTGGTCAGGACAACATTCTGAACTACCCTGTGATTCTTAAGGAGCCAAAGCTCTTTGAACATGGCTACTCAAATCTCTTTCCATGGTTTGCTATTCATAATAGGAATATTGATTTGACTAATATTTCACAAAAATAACACATGAAATTTTAATGTCTATTTAGAAAATACAGCCACTATCTAGTGTTGTTGGGGAAAAGCTCCATATAAACTATATAGACCAGGAGCATGTGGGCAACTCCATTAGTTGCATGTCAGACTCTGTTTCAGCTCAGGTTATGATTGCAGGGTCAAGGGATCAAAGCCCTCATTGGGCTTCCCACTGGGTGAGAAGTCTGCTTGAGATTCTCTCTCTCTGCTTCCTCTGCCCCTCCCCCTGTTTGCACTTTCTCTGTCTCTAAAATAGATAAAATCTTTAAAAAACAAACAAACAAAAAACTAAACAGACTGGAGAAGCTAAATAAGCCACTTTTCCCTTAGGGAAAAAAAAATGATTAAAGGA